TGTGTGTGTGTGTGTGTGTGTATATATATATGAAGGATGCAAACATTGTTATACCCCAAAAAATTACACAAGGTATAGAAATCCTAATGCATCTAGTGTTTTAAGAGATATTAACTTACCTGGAGATTCCAGCACTAACTTCTTTGCATTGTTGCTACACCATTACTAAGCTCTTCTCATTCGCTGAATGTCTAAATGGAAAGTAAACAAAAGCGCACCCGTTGATCCAGCATTCCCCAAGCTGCACTTCACCTTCCTTAGCTATTAACCAGTATGGCCAAGGACTTGGAATTATGGGAATTGAAATCCAAAGGACCTGAAAAACGCTCGGTTTAGGAAAAGCTGTACCGCCATTATTCAGACCCATCTGCGGGATCTGAAGCTTTCATCATAATGGCAAAAAGCAGTGCCAACTACAAAAAGGGCTCAACGTGCATTGTGATGGTGTGATGCTGCTTTTGTCTCCCCCCCCCCAAAGGCCCTCCCTGCAGATGTTTTTGGCAGCATTCTGCTCCCAATATATTTAGCAGCAGAATTCAGCAGAATTGCTCTATTATGATCTATACTTTTCTTTTCTTTTTTTTCTTTTCTTTCAAAACAGTTGGTTTGTTTGTTTTAGACTGAGAGACTGAGAGAGAGACAGGGAGGGAGGGAAGGAGGGAAGGAGGGAGGGAGGGAGAGGGATAGGCAAAGTGCTGCCATGGTGCCCCCCTATGGTAGGCAGCATGATATGTCAAGGAAATAATATTGTGTGCTGGAACTTTTAGAATATTCCAGTTTTCTAATGTCTTAACGTGAAAGGAAACACTACATTTTAATACTGTATAAAGAATTACACAGGACACAGAATGACAGTTTAAGCTGACAAATACATGTCAAGAAAACACAACGTAACAGTAAAAGCAGTTTGTCAGTAGAAAGGTTCAGGTCTCCCATTCACTGGAGGGTTCAAGCAGAGGCAGACACCATTTCTAGCAGATGTTTTAATTTCACTGACTGCACCCAGCAGTGAGTTGGACTCAGTGCTTAAAATAATACCTTCCAGCTCTCTGTATCATTCTAACTATTCACTGAGATAAGGAATAAGGCCCTAAGGTATGTGAGTCTTTTTTCTTTAGAGAAACTACAAACCTATTCAAAGATTTTGAAACAAAGGGTATTATTCTGAATGATGGCCTTTCATTGTTTCCTGATCTCATGGGAGCTATTTCATATAATGAGGAGTTCCAGCGGATGACATGGATGAAGAGATGACTATAGTGATGCTCACAGAAGATGAGGAATGAGAATTATTATTGTTTGAAAAAGTACACTAGGAATCTTTAAAAAATAATAATAATAAAACTGTCAATTTCATACTGAGACCAGACTTGAAATTTATAATTACTGCACATCAGATAGGACATTACAGAGTTTGGGGAAAAAATGACATTGAAGAACTAGTTGCTGAAAAGAACAAAGTGATTAAGAAAGTGGAATAGTTCTATGAAAAAAGTTATTTTATTTGAGGACTTTTAGTTTAGAAAAACAAACGAGATGGGGATGATAAAAAATACACAAGTATGCATAATGTAAAGGATATCTATATATCTATAACTATATAATCTTTTTAAACCACACTTGATAGTGTGTACACCACCATAAAAGACAACATTCCTACTCTCATAATACCAAAGAAAAAAGAACATCAGATTGAGCTAATGAATTTGAGTGACATGAGATACAACATTGACCCAAAAAAGTACTTCATAAAATGCAGAGTTAAAACTCTGATATTTGTTACAACAAAATGTCAAACTAGGGGATTACCCAAATTCATGGAGCAAGATATCAATGACAATAGTCCAAGTGGGCATGCTTTACCTCCAGTATTAGAGGTAGAATATTTATTGAAGATTAACTGCTGAGAAACCCAACTGACAGAATCCAATTACGGTCATGTTCTGCTTGTGAGTTTTTCATAGACATCTGGTTGGCTCTTACGAAAACAGAATCCCAGACAAGATGTATCTTCAAATTTATACAGCAGGATTTTAAAACAAACATATATGTGATGAAATATATATATCTGATACCGTTGTCAATGAGAGATAAACCCGTGTATGTGAACTACATGGAAAATGTGCAAGATATGATTAAAATTGTATCTATGCATAATTTTTAAAGGGCCAGAATGTTAGTGATACTGGAACTTTATCTTTTCACCACCTTGTTATTAAAGCCATATAAATGATAACATGGAAGGCTGCAGCAGAAAAGGACTTGGGAGGACAGTAATGTGCACTTTCAAAGTGAAGAAAGCCAGTGAAGGCCAAGAGATATGTGCTAGGAAAGATGGACAGATGACTTCTATTTCCTCTTCCCACTAGTTCTGTATGTGCTCAGCCAGTTCAGTCTATCCCTTCTCTTTCATTAATCTGTTTCCTTTTCAAAAAAAAAAAAAGTACAAATGTTCATTCTTATAAAAGTTTGTGTGCTGGGGGTGAAGGGTATTTAATATTATATATTATACACACATACATACATACATAAACCTTTTAAAAGGCATTTTGCCTCAGAGCACACAATTCTAAATGGACTGAACCCTAAAGCAGAGAGGTTTATATGCCTCTTGGGGCATTTTTCTTAGCTGAGCAGTGTGAAAAATCTGAGGAATAACTGCGTTCTCATCCATGGTGTAGCTGAGTAGATGCAGACCAAATCTGTTTACTTTGACATGCTGACTGAATGAAATACTGCTACCAAGTGAAGTTATTCTCCAGTAGAAGTTCTGCAGCCGAGTCTTGCAGTCTCTTGACTGTTATTATTCTTTTTTGTTATTGGTTCCTGGATAATGGCTACTGCTAATGGTATCCTCAGGGCACCATCACTTAAATTATTTTATCCAGGTCCTACTACAAAAATATCATTATGACAAACACCTATATGTTGACATGGCTCCAGAACGCCTCCTCACAGATAAGATTCGACAACCATTTTGGCATGGAGGCTGCAGTGGGTGTGGCAGTGAAGTTGTGACATCATTGTAGTGGGCATAATCTGCACCATTATAGTTCAGAACTTTTAACTGTTTGGGGGCTTTGGACAAGGAACACTGCTGCCAAGCCTTCACAGAAGATTTACATCTATGGCACTCTTAACAACACAATGGGAAATCTTTGGAGGATTTCAGAGTTTCAAACATGTAGCTATGTGGTTGCTAAAAGTCGACATGACTTGATGACATGTAATCATAATCAATTACCATCACAAAGGATTCCATGGGGGCTGCAATGCTAAAGGCACCCAATCTGTTTTGTAAACCCACCAAAAAAATTGATCCCCAAATAAAAATGCAGCTTGACCCCTACTAGGACTGTGGGATCTGCTTATGGAATATTAGGTTTGTAGATGGCTCAGATTGCCTACCCCACCCCTAGAATGTCTGGTTAATTGAGAAGCCTGAACACATTAAAACTTTTTCTTTTCTTTCCACACAATACTTTACCAAGTTACCAAGTGAGAATTGGTCAGCCCCTTTATCATTCAACTGGAGAATTGTTAAAAGAATGGAATCAGCTGCCAGGTAATTTTTTGCTTTATACCCTTGGACTTCCATGTTTTTCTTTTCCCAAACAAGTCCTTTATCATAACTAGAGAACTGACTGCTTTGAAAGGGAATTTTAGTAAGTCTTTCTCACATCACATGCAGGACTGCATGGCTACATAAGTTCTCCTTATGTTCTCAAGATTTTTATAACATTTGTTGAGTTTTGTATTTTCTGGGCCTTCATCATCAGAAACCCAGAGACCTTGCTTTTCACTTTTCATTGACCATGGCTTAAGGGAGAGATTCTTGGCAAATACAGTACTTAGAACACCCCAGCTACATAGATTACAGTGTTTAAGGATGTTCAACCTGACTGGTGGCTGTATTCCATGACAACTTTTTACCATGGGAATGGCTCCTCTAATAAGATAAAATCCCCATACCTCCCAAATCCATAAAAGGCACTGATGCAGGAAATTGACTGATAACTCAAGGATGCCTCCAGCCATTGTACAACTGCATTCATATGTTTGTAGATTTATAGCTGTGAGGATCAAATTCAGCCATTTCAATTTATTGCTTCACTGAAGAAGCTCAAAGCCCAGATAAAAACATTATCTAAACTAGGATATAATTGTTCTCTTTCAGCTTGCAGAAATAGTGATTCAGGAATGCTTGGCAAAATTTGTATTCAATCTTGTAAAAAATTGATTCAACCCCAGCCCAAAGGACTATAATGTATTACATTATTTACAATCCAGTTAAATCTGGATTAGGGCACTGGCCATCAAAACAAGTTAAAAATTAGAATCTATCAACACCATGCATTTTTTGCAAAAGTATTATTATTAATCTAGAAGAAATGACCACATAACAAATATTTTTTTTTGTTTTTACAAAATTATATTGAATTGATCAGTAACTGGTCCAGAGTCATAAATATATCCTTCAAAGGTTCTAGTATCAATTTCTTAGAATTAAAAAGTTGATAGTAAGAGTTGCCATAAAACTTTCAATCTAGACAGCCAAGAAAGATTAAATTAAAATAAAGTCATATAAAGTATAATATACATGTGCTGCTATATAGACAGCATTGTGGCTGACCTTCATCTTGACAGTTGCATAGATAAAAAATCACTTTTGGAGCTTTGGGGAATGTGTATCTTAAACAGAAACTGGCACCTAGGAGATGTTATACCACATTACATGGCCTCTTTTGCTGCTTTGATTTAAAAGGCAGGCTTGCTCATATATTCTTCCATTGTCTGAAACAAAGAACAGTCGAGAAAATAACTCAGTTATCAGAAGTTACACATAGAATTCATAATGTAAGAACAATCAACCCATGAAAAACCAGAGAACTGAAACTAATTTGGTAAGCTAAATTGAGACCATTAAGAAAAATCACATTAGTAGTAGATTCATTCTCCTCTCACTAGCTTAGTTTTGTAGCTTAGACTAATTCTGAACGTTAAAATTACTTTCACTACAAAAATAAAACAAATAGTTTTGAAATCATGAGGTCTGGAGGCTTATGAACATGAAGCATTATTAGTTTGTTAATAAATCCATATTCTTTCAATCAACTAATTCTAGTGGTTTCATTCACCAATCTATAATCATGCAGCCTAGCAATTTAACCTTTTCCTTAAACACTGAGAATCTCAAGATATCAGCTTGTCACTGGATTGAAATGGATTATCAGAGTTTTAGCATTTAGCCAACAAGATTTGTTTATTCCCTTTTTAAATTATCTGGGTTCATTTTAGATGCTTCTGTTGAAGACTTTAGTAAGTTTTTCCACAATGGTAAAGTCATTCCCAATCCTGTTTTAAAATTCTAGCATTGGTTGTGCACAAACCAGTCTCAATGGTGTGCTTAAGTCCCATTGAGACCAATTTTACTATACTATATATTCAGCCGAGTTGCTTAACAAATGAGACTTAAAAATTGTTTCACAAATCATACCTTGTTTTTCCATGACATCATAGGTACATGCCATCAGGGATAAATAGGGTACAAAGTCCAAGGATTCATTTATACAGCAGATAGTAATTGCTATGATCATGTTGGGCAGATTGGGAAAAACAGTCCTGACTCCTGGCTCTTTTAAATCCCTCTTTAGTTGGTTCTGCCCATGAAAGCAAGTATCTGAATAGACTAGATATTTCAATGAGTAGGCTATGTACTTTAGTGTTTGAACTGACCCTTAGGCACAAATAATATTTTATAGAATTGTGCTGTTTATGCCTAAGTGGCATTTTCACAATTCATCATTGCTATAGTAATCTAGAACTTGTTTGGGAGTATGGTGATTGCACTCAGGCCAGGAATAGAAAGTTAAACATACAATATGGATCCAAAACTGGGCTACAATTTTATTGTTAATGTCATGGAGATCTACACTGAAAACCATGCATGGTCTTCTTGCTCTGGCAAAAACCACTTGGTCATAAGTCTAGAGATAGCAACAAATCTGTTGCCATACATTGGCCGCTCCTTCCTGTGTGCTTCCCCTCAAACCCATGATCTAAGAGGGCAACTGAAGCACAGCCAAGCACTTTTTAACATTCTAAAAAAACTGAACCAAATGCCCACCAATCAACAATATAGCATGTCTTCTGAACAGTTCAAGCCAAATGTTTGTAGCAAATACTGATACAAAAGGAGATTTAATGCAAGGTATTCTAATATTAATGATAGAAATAGCATTCTCCATATCATGTGAGGAATGAAATGATTTTCACTGATTTCATTGTAGCCAAGTACTGTTCTTTCTATACCCTTCCTAACTATGAAAGCAACACCATTATTTCTTTGTTTTTCATGTCTTAAGTAGTAAACAGTGTGATCTTTTGACTGAAAGTGTCTAATTCCAGTCCATCTCAATCTGTGCATGCCTAAAATGTCAATGTGTAGTTGATTTATTTCATCTTTCAATGTGCTAAACTTTCCCATATTCGTGCTTCTTTGGATCCATGTTTTCACTGTAATTCTGTTCTTGCAACTTCAAATTTTCTTTTCCTGCATGGCAACATTAGCAACTAGAGGTTCTGAAGGCTTTAATCTAGCTACATCAGGAACGCAATTAGTACTCTGAAAAATCCTTAGCTCTTCCTCAGTAGCATGTTGAGTGTCATCTGATCTTTGAAACCCGTCATTTGGCACTATTTCATTACTCATTTTCTATTTATATGGCTTTCTTGGTAAAATACACAAGTAGCAGGGAAGGTTGCTTTTGCCACTGTCACTAAAGTGATCTTCGACCTTCTTATATCTTTGTGGTCCAATATGGGTGCCTGCTTGCTTAGTTGGGCAGCTGGGATGACCATGCCTTGAGTGACCCTGCTAGGATTATATACTCTTGGCATACACTCTCCATGTTCTTTGCTCATCCCAGAGGAAACAGCCTCCTCTGCCATGAAGACAACACAGCATTAATTACTCATTAATTATTCATATGTAGCTTTTTGAGCCATAGCAGATAGCACCATCTAACCTATCTTGACTGATTCCCAAAAAAGCTAAACAGGGTGATTAGTACTTGGATGGGAGATCACCAGGAAATCCCAGGACTATAAGCTGGAATGGGAAATTGAAAAACGTCCCTGAAGGCAATGGCAAACCATTTCTGAATTTCTTCCAAGAAAACTTTGTTGTTCGGTCGTTAAATCATGTCCGACTCTTCATGACCCCATGAACCATATTGCGCCAGGCCTTCTTGTCCTTCACTGCCTCCCTGAGTTTGCT